TTATAAGGATAACAAGGCTTACCTCTTCAGGTTGTAAGGATTAAATTTGACCTTGTAAGTTCCTTACTCTTATGGAGAAGTCTTTACATAAATAGTAGTTCTTTTACAGTGGGTTCCTTTTTCATAGATAAACATTTAAGTCCTGGCATGGAAGGTCCTCACAATGGTTCCCTCTTCCCTACCCCCAGGATTTTGCTCCTTCACTTCTATGTTCTTCCATCAGGCAGTTAAAGGGACATTCCTTGCCCATATCCTGTCTTCTTGGCTCTCTATTTCCTTTGTTCGAAATAGCCTCCCACATTGACATGAGCCAGCCAACTGGGTACCTCTTCCTTCTAAGCTCCTGACATCTCATGAATGCTTCCAGATGCACCATACCCCACAACAATCTCTCCCACTTAGACTATTAAGGCCTAGTACACACATTTAACAGCAATAAGTTTCATGAAACAATGTTTACTACGTAAACACACTCCAATATTTTCACTTTATTCCATTCTATTCTAAAATTTGTCTGAAATCCACTAAACCAAATGATTCCATGACCCCAGTGTCGGATCGTGAATTACAACCCAGAGTTTTAACAACAATGAACTAGGTAAGATCCTTGAACTCCTTTTGCTTCTCCCTCCATTGCAGGGCAATCACTCAATTATTTATTACATTAAGCGGAAAAAATGGGTCACAAATTCAAGAGTCTGAGTGAGCAGTATAATTGATGGAGAAAAGTGGGGCGTAATGGGCGCCTGGGTGGCTCAGTTGGTTAAGCAACTGCCTTCGGCTCAGGTCATGATCCTGGAGTCCCAGGATTGAGTCCCGCATGGGGCTCCCTGCAGAGCAGGAAGTCTACTTCTCCCTCTGACCCTCTTCCCTCTCGTGCTCTCTACCATTCTCTCTCTCTCTCTCTCAATAAATAAATAAAAATCTTAAAAAAAACCTATTAAAAAATAAATAAAAATAAATGTGAGATAAATTCTGTAAAAAAAAAAAAACAGAGAAAAGAGGGGTGTAAGAAGAATAGCTCAAACAGGATGATAAATGGTATGTGACCCTTGGTCTCAGTGTCTGGGACACAATAGAGAGTGGTGAGGACTTGGGGAACCCAAGAGTATAGGCTCAGCCTAAAGGAGGCAGCTTCCATTCAACTCCAGACGATTGCCAGCTTGGATGCCCAGATCCTTTGAATTTAGGAGAAGTGGCAAATTAGGATACCTTTTTGCAATCTCCCAAGTTTTAAATGTCAACTCATTTTTAAAATGTTAATGTGTCAGTATACACCAAGACAATATATCCACCAGGTGTGGACCTTGGCCTGCCAGTTAGCAGCTTCTAAATTAAGATTGGGGTGCCTGGGTGTGCCCACACTTGAGGGGCCCACTCTTGATTTCAGCTGAGGTCATGATCTTGGGGTTTGTGAGATCGAGAGCCCCCCCCCCATCGGCTTCTGCGCTAAGCACAGAGTCTGCTTGGGATTCTCTCACTCCCTCTCCCTCAGCCCCTCCCCCACCCCCGCCCCTCTCAAATAAATAAATAAAATCTTTAAGATTAACCAGTTTGTTAACTATACTGGAAATAGAAAGAAAAGAAAAAAGAAAATTAACTCCACAGGGAATCAAACTGAACTGACCAAATTTCAGATAAACGATGTCACCCTATTCTGACCTGCAGCTCTTTAGTAGTAGTTTGAAGCTAGGCATAAAAGTGAAAGATTATTTGCCTTGGTTGAAATTTTCTTGCCTTGCAAAAAAGGACTCCGATTCCCATCTTTTCCCAGTTATTTGGTTGCTTATCAACTCTATCCCAAGTGGCCTGCTGCCACCAAAACTAAAATGTTGCTTTCTTTGAACACTGCAGTTTCAGTGTCCAAGCAAACCTTTAGTGAGGTTTGTTCTCTCACATTGTTGGTGAATAAATAGCAGTCATTTGCCCTGCATCCAATTACTTCCCTGAAGCCAGTTTTGTTGGGGTTGTCTTTGCTCCTGCCCAGCTGGAGCAGTGGATCTGAAAAAGTCAAATATGAGGAGCTATTTACTTAGATAACATAAAAGGAACTACAAAATTTTTCACCCTAGCATGTGTGTATGAGAGAGTGACTCACCCCTGAGAGTTAATTGGGGTTAATTATTACCAGCCTGACTTGTCAAGGCAACAAAACATCTGGTATAACTTGCTTACTCTCAGACAGGGGAGTTGCTTCTGAAGCTCACCATTTTGAAAACATGGTGTGTACCTTTCAACATGATTATTTAAAATGGGAGGGGACTGTGGAATGCTTGAGTGGAATTAAGCTCACAATTAAGCCCTGGCAAGACGAAGTCACACACTGAGGAAAGAAAAGTCCTCTCTCCTCCTCGCCACATGACAAATGGAGACATCAGCAGTTAAGAATGGTGATTACCTTTCGCCCCTCTATTTTATCGCTTCCTATTTCTTTGCCAACCCTTTACCCAGAGCTCCCAACTGCCAAGGAGGCTGGATTTCTCAGTTTTGTTTTAGTTAAGTTGCTCAGGCCTGGTGTGTTTCCAGCACTGCAGGGGAGAGTAAAACAAAAGCACGAACACGCAGAAATCCTATGCCTTCTGTCCAGGGATTCTGTGCGCCCTCCCTCAGCCTGCATTAAATTTAGGTAGGAGATGTCTACCCCTTACCTACTTATATGGACTCCATCCCTCCTTCCTGAGATGCCCTAGGAGAATTCGTTTCAGCTCACCCTAACCGTTCTTTCTCATCGTTCTTTATAGTAAGGTTTCTTGTTGGGGAATACACACCGAACCGTGCACAGGATATGTAGGATGCAAGCTGGCCTGAACAGTTACCTTTAAATTAAGGATACCAACTATTTGAGCCAGGCTTTACATCCTGTATCATATTTAATCTTCATACGATCTCCATTTTAAGAACAAGAAAACAGTTGATGATGTAAAGAGATTCGTTACCATAAAATCAAGATAACAGGGTTGGTGGACACAATTGGGATTCAAACCCATTGCTGCCTCTAATAAATGACTTCAAATACCAGCATCCTTTGCAATGCCTCATTGCGCAAACGCACACTCTTCTCAAAGGCCCGGCGCCCGGGTTTTTGGCCCCCATTCTTAATCCTAGCGGTTGGATGGGAAACCCAATCAGAAGCCGCCTCTCCCTGCTCCCCGACCAATGGGAAGGCTGTTGCTAACACACGAGTTATATTTTTAGCTCTTCAGTGCTCTGGCACCCTGTAGGTCGGTGGGGTCTCACTGCTAGCATGGAATACGCTAGGGGAGAGCAAGGGAGGAGTGGGGAGCGATGGGAAGGGGAGGGAGGTGGAGAGGGAGGAAAAAGAAAAGAAGGAGTGGAGTGGGGCAAAGCGGCGCGGGGCGTATGTGTGACGCTCTGCCACTCGCTGACGCACGAGGCAAGTAGTCCCTGGAGGTGCCCCAGGGGCCGAAGCGCTCAGTGTGTGGGGGATGGGGGATTTCGGGCTTAGGCTCCCTCGCGCCTCCCTGTCCCCTTGGAGTTTGCCCTCCAGTACGGCCTTTTTCTGCTGCAGTCAAGGAAAGCGCTTTTAAACCCCCACACTACCGCTGCTCTCTGCCGTTGCCAAAAAAAAAAAAAAAAGATCAAGGAACAAACAAATGCTAACTGTTCGTAGCTGGAAACTTTCGGATTTCGCCACCCCACGTGGGTTCGGCGACTGCCGATGGGCTGGAACCGTCTGGAATGAGAATAAAGGTCGAGGGTTGGGGAGAGAATTGGGGAATGGGCGACTGGGCAAAAGCCTTAACGCGCAAGCTCCCAGGGGCTCCTCGCAACCTGGCAGTCCGGTCCGCCTGTGACCTCACCTGGGCACAGGCCTCCCTACCCTCAACTCCGCGCCCCGCAGTCACAAAGTGGCCGAGCCCGCGAACCTGCGCGCCCGTCCAGGGCCAGCGAGCCTTGGTCTGCAACCCATGGACCGTCGGGTGCGTGAGCCTGGGGCCCCTGGCACGGGCAGGCGCCACACCCCGCCAGCGGGGGGCTCTTATATAGAAGAAAAGTTGCTCAGTCTAGTCCCCCGTACGGGGGTCGCCACCCGGGAGAGCAAGCGCGAAGATTTGCAGCAGGTCTGAGCCCCACCCGGGGCTGGCCGGGGGCGCGCTTGCGCGCCTGCGCGGAGCCGGCGCGGGCCTTTTCCGGCCGCAAGGTAATTAGGGGGCCAGAAGCAGCAAGTAGAAGGTTTATGTGGCGCTAGGCTCCTTTTCCCGGCCGGCCTCTCCTTGCATCCCCTTCCTCCCGTTCAGCGTGCTCAGACCCCGGTTTCCCCTTCGCCCTCCCTTCGACGTTAACATTACCCACCGAGGCATGGGGCGCTTGCTTGGAAGACTCGAGCCAACCCGAGTTAATAAAGGAGCGAAACGTCTCCCAAGCTCGCGCCATCCCCTCAGCTCCCCCTCCCGCCAAGGGACGGTAACTGGGGCGGTGCGAGAGCCGTGGGGTTGGTCGGCCAGTCAAACGCCCAGACCCGGAGGGACTCGCCGACCTGGCCTGGGGGAACAGGTCCGGCGAAACCTAAGAACAGTCGGCGCTAGGGCAGGTGCAGGGCCCAAGCCACGGGGAGCTGGGTGAGGGAGCTCCCCTCCCCGCCACATCCATTCCTCTCACACATCTAAAGTGAACCACCGGGTTCCAGTCCAGGACCCTGCCCTCCCAGAACTCGCTGTCTACGTGGGGAAACATTGTACCCGATGGGCTTTCAGTGGTTTGGAGCATGAAGAAAATACACGGCACGGCGCTGTGCTGGGGAGAGGAGGCGAGCATCATTGGACCGGCTAAAGGCGGCCTTGCTGGCGTTTAACCTGGGATCTGAGTGAGAAGAGGCCGGCCACTGGAGGGCTGGCGGAAGGAGGTCCCGGGGAACCCCCGGGAGGCACGTAGAGCCGCCGACCGCTCAGCGCGAAGGGTTAAGTCGCCTGGCCGGCTGGAAAGTAGTCCCGGCCCGGCGCCCGGCCCCGCCCCTGCAGGGCGGAGGGACGCATCACGCAGGGGTGGGGAAGCCGGATCCGTGCGCAGGGTTGCTAAGGGTGAAACTTTTCATTGACTTTGCTCACTTCGGGCCGGGGCGCGGGAAGGTGCGGGTCGTCGCGGTAGAGAAGCGAGTGGCTCGGGCGACGCGGGGCCAGAAAGGCAGGACCGCCCGCTAGCCAGAGCCCGGACCGTTCTCTGCCCCGCGACACAAGCCGCCCTCCGGTCCGACATCCTCGCTTCGTCGCCGCCGGCCGGCCCGCCCGCCTTCCGTCCCCTCTCCGCCGAGCCTGACCTCCAAAAAGCTGAAAGAATTATTATTGAGAGTCATAGCCCAAAACTCCCTCACTTGTCCCCCAACCCTCAACGAATAAAAGGACCCATCAGCCTCCGGCCCGGCGGCGCCCAGAAAGGAAGGAAGAGCGACCTCCGACCCGCGCCCAGGACCACCCTGGAGGGAGAAGCCTCCCCACCACCGGCAGACCGCCCCGCCACCGCGGAGACCCGAGTGAGTGAGCGGGGACCGTGCGGGCGGCGGGGACCCCTGAGACACCTTCTCCCACCCCCGTCCCACTCTCGCTCCTCGCTTTGCTGGACGCTGCACGTTGCTATCGTGCCCCCATCCCGAGGACTGGCCAACATTTTCCTTTCCCCTTCCACCTCCCCGATAGAACCCCCCCGCCTTTTTCCCCGGTGCTCCTCTCCGCTCCGTGTTCTGAGTGTGGCCCCCTCCTGGGTGGGGTGCATTTCCTCCCCTCTCCGCCCCCCTCAGTTCTTCATATCGTAGAGACTCGCTAGATTTTTCTTTGTATCCCCCGCAAAACATAACTTCCACCACCATTAAATAAATCAGAGGAAGGAAGGGGATCCAGGCTTTGTTTTTCTGCTTCTTTTCCCGTGTGCGGGAAAGGGGGTGGTAATAATTAATAGGGTTTATTTCTGGCCCTGTGGAGCTGAGGGTTAGAAGGTAGACATCCCCTTTTGGACGGGTCAGTGGTGACTGTCCTGCGACCGCTGAACCAGAATTTACCGTTTTCGCTTTCGTGTTTTAAGGGAAAACTGTGCGGGGCGGGGGGGGGAGGGGGCTGGTGAAGTGCGTTTACAGCAATACCAGTGAGTGGATTCTGGTTGATCCCGGTGAGATGCCTGGGAGGAAGAGCCCTACTTCTAAGCTCGTTCCCCTCCTGCCCAGAGGATGGACTGTGCCCTTGACGGGGGGGGGGGGGGGGGGCGGGAGGGGGCAGAGAGAGGAGGGGCAGTTGGCAGGCCTTCTCCCACCCCGCAGAGGAACCAGAACCCTACACAGCGGGTTGCAGCTTGGGCCCTCGGAGGGGGTCTCAGGTGCCTTGCTCAGTGTCTAACCTCTCTGTTTCTCCTTCCTATCCACCCTGCCTTGGGAGTGAGCCCCTCATCTTTGATTTTCCAGCAGAAAAACACTCCTATTGCTTTCTTGGGCGCCTGCCCCCATCCCCCTCTTAAGCAGTGGGGGAAAGAAGCTTGTGTGGGAGGAAGGATTAGGGAGGTTTAACAGCGTGTAGGGGAGCTTTGCCGAGGATCTGGTTAAGTCTGGTCATAGAGCAGGCCTTGCAATGGGAGGAGACCCACAAACAATTTCAAGTATTAGAATATGTTGTTCGGGTGTCAGATGCACAGTTTTTCCTTCCCTGCCCGGAACCTTTTCCCATTTCCCTAGCTGGGTCTAGTTACTCGGACTTGGATTAGAAGAGGGGTGAGGCTTGGGCCCTGCTGGCTTTGGGCCTTCTGATTTTCCGCCCGGCCCCTCCCCGCAGCTTAACTGGGAATTTCTTTGGCTGAGAGGAGGGGAGAACTGGGTTTAGTTCCTGCCTTTTCTGGCCGTGGGGGTGTTGGAGCTGAGCCCGCCGGGCATTAAGTGAAAACGCTTTTTTTCCTCTTTGAATTCACCGTCCCTACAGCAACTCCAGACGGAGACCACCCAGCCCAAGGAATACAGATTGAGCGACAGGGGCCGGGGGGGGGGGGCGGCGGAGGGATGTGTGACCTTTATCTGTCCCAGCCCACCGTGTTCACCCAGAAAAAACTCATTAGAAGGAGATCCTTAATTGGACAGTCAAGGGAGCCTGTGAAGAGGAAGAGGCGGCAATTCAGCCTTTCTTGAGACCAAGATGTGAATACGGTAGGGTGGTACAATACGGAGAGTAGGCCTTATGGGTAAATTTATACAAAATGTATTAAGCGGTGGGCGGGGGGGGATGGGGGCGTCCACCACAGCGCGCATGTGCGTCGGAAACTTTTCCTCGGTTCCCCGGACCTCGGCCAGCTCCCCTTACCAGGCCTGCGTAATTCGCTGGCTGAACCTTCGCAAAGCACGCAGGGAAGTGTAGTGTGCAGAGAAAGTAGGTCACTTGCTCCAATCTGAGCGTGAGGTGTCTGAGGACTACAGTTCCCAGAGTGCAGAGCGCGCCTTCACTGCCGGCCTACGTTGGAGTTCAGTGAGGTCTTCCTGGCTTCGCAGGAACCGAGTGCCCCAGAAAGGGCCTTCTTAGTCGGAAGAGTTGGGCTCGCATAGTCCATGTTTGAGGGACATGGTGGAGACTCTGGGTGGGGTGTTGTGGTCCGTCGGCACAAGTCCTGGAAGGCCTTCGAGCATACCCGCCGGTCTGGGTCGCTGCCTCTGGGACTGGTGGGGTGGGGCCAGGCGGTCCCACGGAACCTGGCTTTCACTCCCTGGGAACCGGTGTGCGACACCTGCTGGCCTTGTCAAAATTGAGGACCCCTCCTTCCCGACTCCTCTTTCCAGACTCGTTTGAACCTGATAGTGCTTGGTTGTAGGACCATTTGGTTGTTAAGGCTTGAGGTGCCTGAATATTTTATAGGTACTCCTGGTTTGGGGGCCCGAGGAGTTCCCTCGCCATTATCCCTCCTTTTCCCCTTTAAAATATATTGATTTTCTTCTTAACCTTCCTTCGCATTTTTGTTATAAGCTCTTTCTGGAAACTCCATTACCATATCATTGACTGTAGCAGTCACCTTTCTTACCTCGTTTCTGTCCTTAAGCACTCTTTAAAACACAAGTCAAGGGGCGCCTGGGTGGCTCAGTCGTTAAGCATCTGCCTTCGGCTCAGGTCATGATCCCAGCGTCCTTGGATTGAGCCCCGCATAGGGCTCAGGTCATGATCCCAGGGTCCTGGGAGTGAGCCCCGCATCGGGCTCCCTGCTCAGCGACGAGCCTGCTTCTCCCTCTCCCACTCAGCAACTTGCTTGTGTTCCCTCTCTCGCTGTGTCTTTTTCTGTCAAATAAATAAAAATCTTTAAAAAAAATAAAACACGAGTCAGCACAAGGGATCTGAATCCCACATTAATTTTGCTGTTGGGAATAAACAAGTGAAGGAGGATTAGATTCTAAATGAAATTGGACAGAATTTACTCTCACATTCGCAACTTTAATATATTGACAAAAGGTAGATGTTGCTATTGTTAAACACTGGTTTTTGAGGGGGGAAGGGAGTTGTTTGGTTGGTTTTGTTTTTGTTTTTACTTTTTGCCACCTTTCTGGCCTTTTGCACCTGAGTCAGAGTTGGAGATCTTAAAGTCCTCTCTTCCCTCTTAACTTGAATCTACTTGTTACTTGTATTGAAGAGTAGTTATTACTAAGCTTTCCAATCTTACCACATTCTATGAATATTTATATGTAAGCCTAGAATTTGTCCATAGCCTTAAAAAAAATGAACAAACTCATCTGAGTGGTCACTCCTATCTTTAGTTAAAGACAAGACAGCACCAGTGCTTTAATCCTCTGTTCCATAAGCTTCTTGAAGTCAAAATTAGAGCCTGAGCTGATAGAGCAGAAAATCTCATTCTGGTTGTCCAGCATTTTTGAAAGGTTCCGCCCCACAGCCATCTGGCCTGGCCTGTTCTCCAGTTGAAGAGGCAAAGATGGCATTATATACTTCCTTACTTGTGTGGCAGCATCACTGAGGTATAAATTGGTGTGCAGCTTTAGTTGCTTATGCTGCAGAAAATGGTCAGCTAGGCAGGGCTGATGACAGTGGTTCTTTTGTACTTTGGGGTGGGAGGCTTATTTCCCAATGACTTTGGCCTGCATTTAAAATGCTGCCATTTTGAAAAGAAAAAAAAGAGAGAGGGAAACAAGCCGGAAGAGACTCTTAACGATAAGAGAACAAACTGAGGGTTGATGGAAGGAGGTGGGTGGGGGACAGGCTAGATGGGTGATGGGGATGAAGGAGGGCACTTGTTGTGATGAGCACTGGGTGTTATATGTCAGTGAAGAACCACTGAATTCTACTCCAAAAACCAATATTGCACTGTATGTTAACTAAGTAAAATTCAATTAAAAAAAATAGGTAAATAAAAATGCTCCCATTTTGAGGCTGAACACTTCAGGGGAGGTTAACTTGGAAGGCATGTATGCAGCAAAGTTTGAAGAGGCCTAGAAAGGTTGTAGGAGCCCTTTGGTGTGAGTGGTGCACCTCTTGGCCACGTGGTGCTTTCGGGAAGTATAATGTCATATTTAAGTCTGTTTTACTTTTCAAAAACACTTTGAAAACACTGTCTTTAGCTCCAGGCCCATCCTTGGGAACCAGTGCCAACTTTCTTCATAACTTTTTAATCTCCTCCATTTTGGACACCTCTGGTGGGCTGCTGTGGCCCTTATAGACTTCCTCTTGTGGGATGCCTGCATCCTGGTGGCTAGCCTTGCATCTGGTGATGGACGCAGTCCTTATAAACAGAAAGCCCCCTATCTTTACCATTTTTTTTTCCTCTTTAAACCTTCTGGAATTGATCTGTGCTCATGACACCTCTGTTGAATCCCCATGTGACCCTCTGCTCAGACCTGAAATGAGGGTGCGACTAGACCTAGCCAGTGTCCCGTGATGCTCCAGATTGACCCAGTGCTTCTCTGATTTTCACCCAAGAGCTTTGCCCAAGGATCCAGTCCTAAAAAATACCCCTAGGAGCCAAAGAATTATAAGGAAGTGAGCTGGGGCGGGTGTTCAAAAAACTCAAGATCCTCAAGCCTAGAATTAGCACCTGAATACTCTATGCTGGACCCAGAAGGGATTTTAATCAAAATCCAGCTCCAGATCTATCACTGGGCAGAAGATGCCCTTGATGGATCATGGATTAGTCTTGTCTCTGCACTGAGCTCAGCAGCACATTCCCATCCAGAGGCCTGGCTGGGAACAGGTTCTGGCCCTGCTGACCCTTAAAGGTGGTCCTTCTCAGTCTTCCCACAGCATGACCCGGGAGCTGCCCTTTTGGAGATCCAGAGTGAGGAGATGAGGATCACTCGCTCTCAGGACTTTACAGATCATCTTCCTGAGACATGAGGCTGGCCCAGACCTCAGGAATAAACCTTTTTGACCTCTGTGGGAGCTGGCTGTGAGAGAATCCCAAAATAACAATCTGAGTGTTTATCTTGGGCTGTCTCCTCTCCAGGGATCTCCAAACACTTGATAAGTCTTATCTGGTGCCAAGGACAGGTGGTCAGATGGTCCCCAGGAGACTTGAGTGATGATGGGTCCCCAGCTGGAGGCTGCAGGGTGATGGAAAATTTCTTCTCTTTGCCACCCTCATCACCTACACTCTAGCCAAAAGCTAGAGATTCCCTCCGGCCACACCAGTGCTGCTCTTAAGGACTTTTTGGCCTACGGGGCCTTGCCTCCGTTTCATTTCCTCTGCTTCCCTGAGACAGCCCCTGCTCAGCAGTCCCTTGTTGGCCCACACCTCTGGTTGTAACAGGTCTTGACTTCTTGGGGATCGTGTTCTTGTCTCCATTCTTGGAGGCTGCCTCGATGGAAATGCACCCTTTGGTTACAGTGTGTTCTTGAAACATCAGTTCTGCAAACCCAGAGCGAGCCAGAGAGCATGTACACCAACAGGACCCAGGATGACAAATTGGGTGTGACTGGAGTCCAAGCCCCCAGTGAAAAGTTGGCAGTGCTGTTTCCTGTTCAGTGATCTGTATCCCTTTCCATTTAAGGAGAAAAACTAAGGATTTTAAACTTATATCTTGGCCTGTGACTGTTGGGAGCACGACTTCACCAAGATGTTATGGAGATTAGTTACCAAGAGCCTTCCCTTCTCCAGTTGAATTAGGGTCTCAGCTTTTTGTGGGTTTTTTGCTTTTTGCTTTTTTTTTTTAAGATTTTATTTATTATTTGACAGAGAGAGAGCTAGAGCAGGAACACAAGCAGGGGGAGTGGGAGAGGGAGAAGCAGGCTTCCCACTGAGCAGGGAGCCCAATGTGGGGCTTGATCCCAGGACCCTGGGATCATGACCTGAGCCGAAGGCAGACGCTTAACAACTGAGCCACCTAGGCTCTCCGTTTTGTTTTGTTTTTTGATAGCAGTTGTATAGTGACTTGGATTCTCAAAATAGTGGAAACCACAGCACTCCTGTTTCTTTAGAATTACTTGAAAAACTGTAGCTCATTTTATCAGGTGCCTTCTAAATAGCAGGGTCAGTGTGAGAGAGTTTGCATCCTTGAGCTAACTTACTCTCCATGATAGCCTTATGTCACTGATGAAACTAAGGCTCAGAAGAAAGTGGCTTGCCCTCAGCCACACAGTCAAGCTAGTCACTAGTGGAGCAGAAAGGGGGCTCTGAATCTGAGATCTAAAGTTGGTGCTTTTCTATCCTTCCCCTTGATCCCCCTGCCCGCCGCTCCCCCCCCCCCCCCCCCCCCCGCAGGCTTTCTGCACATTTACTCATAATACCCTGCATTGTTCTTGGTTTGCAGAGCTGTCTGGAGCCCAAGGCTGCCTACCTTCCATCACCTGCCACTGCCCTCGGCTTGTATACACGTGCCCGGAGCTGATTTGCCGCCACGGAAAGGACCATGCAGCTGGAGATCAAAGTGGCCCTGAACTTTATCATCTCCTACTTGTACAACAAGCTGCCCCGGCGCCGGGCAGACCTGTTCGGCGAGGAGCTGGAGCGGCTCCTGAAAAAGAAATATGAAGGCCACTGGTACCCTGACAAGCCCCTGAAGGGCTCCGGCTTCCGCTGTGTTCACATCGGGGAGATCGTGGACCCTGTGGTGGAACTGGCCGCCCGGCGGAGCGGCCTGGCCGTGGAGGATGTGCGGGCCAACGTGCCTGAGGAGCTGAGCGTCTGGATCGACCCGTTCGAAGTGTCCTACCAGATCGGCGAGAAGGGGGCGGTGAAAGTGCTGTACCTGGATGACAGCGAGGGCTGTGTCGCCCCAGAGCTGGACAAGGAGTTCAAGAGCAGTTTCAACCCCGATGCACAGGTCTTCGTGCCCATCGGCAGCCAGGACAGCTCCCTGTCCAGCTCCCCATCACCATCCTTCGGCCAGTCGCCCAGCCCCACCTTCATCCCCCGCTCTGCCCAGCCCATCACCTTCACTACCGCCTCCTTCGCCGCCACCAAGTTTGGCTCCACCAAGATGAAGAAGGGCGGCGGGGCCGCAGGGGGCGGGGGTGTGGCGGGCGGTGGGCCCGGGGTCCCCCAGCCTCCACAGCCCCGCCTGGCCCGCTCCCCCACCAGCAGCCTGCTGAAGCACAAGAGCCTCTCCCTGTCTCTGCACTCACTGAACTTCGTCGCGGCCAGCCCGGCCCCTCAGTCACAGCTCTCCCCCAACGCCAAGGAGTTCGTGTACAACGGTGGCCCTGCCAGCCTCTTCTTTGACGGGGCCGATGGTGGGGGTGCTGGGGCCGCCTCGTGCACTAGCAGCAGCTTTGACGTGGCCCAGGTGTTTGGGGGCGGCACCAACAGCCTCTTCCTGGAGAAGACACCCTTCGTGGAAGGCCTCAGCTACAACCTGAACACCATGCCCTACCCCAGCCAGCCCTTCCAGCCTGTCGTGCTGGCCAACTGACCGCCCGCCGGTCGCGAGGCCAGGAGCGCCCAAGACCACAGGAAAGAGAAAGGAAAAGAAAGGCCAAAAAAAGAGGAAAAGAAAAATACACAAAAAGATTTCCAGTCTTCTCACTCTGGCTTCTAGAAAAAAAGATCCAGCCCAGGCAGGGAGTGGGAGGGGGCTCCTGAAGCACCGAATCGAGGTTAACTCAACCCCCTGCTGTTTTCCTGCCTGCCTCTGATTTATTTGGTTGGTTTGGGTTTTATATTTTTTTTTCTTTTTTTTTCTTTTTCTTTTCTTTTTTTTTTTACATGTAGTTTTCTATATAACATCTTTAATTAGTGGCTTCCTGTGCTAAGAATGGTCCAGATGTGAATTGCTGCTCCCTCCCTCCCTCCCACCCTCCTTCACACGCCTGGTTTAGGATTGGTGTGTCCAAGCTCACAGGGAAGGAAGAGCCACAGGCTGGGGCCTAACCCTGCCCAGAGCAGAGAGAGGCTGCCCTGTGTCACTGCCTCTGTCCCCCAGCTCTGCTTTCACTCAAAGCCATCCAACCTCATCAGGCCTTCTTGGGCCCTGCCACCCAAATAGGTCTGACCCCAGCCCCCGCTCCCTCCCAGGCCTGAACCATGGGGAGCTGCTGGCTGGCTACTTGACACCCTCCCGCTAGAGAGGTTAGCACTCTTGTCTAGTGGAATTGCTTTCATCTCTGTCCTGTGGCCCCACACCACCATCCCCACCCGGCCCAGACCCCCACCATGGCCCCAGAGACCCAGCCGTTGACACATGTGGTCTCGTGCAGCCCCTTCTTCCCTGGGCCTGAGGTTGTGGGAAGGAGGCGGGGCAGGTACGGGGGTGGGGGGGGGGGGGTGGGGTGTGCGTGCGCGTGCGCGCGCGTGTGCGTGCGCGTGGTTTGCCGTCCTGTTCTAAAGGATTCCAAGCCATGTAAACCCCCTCCCCCTCCCCAGCATGATTCCAGGTTGTGGCAAGTGCTTATTTACATAGGAGGTTGGGGAATGGGCCGGGTGGGTTGTCAGTCCTTTTGTAGGGTGGGTCACGTGTTGCGGTGAGACTGCGGCTGAGCCTGAGACACTCCCAGGGGAAAATACTGCAGAAGGAACTGGTTTCCAGACTGCGGAGGGATCTGCACTTTTGTTTTTGACCAAAAAAATGGGGGGTTAGCTGTGAGGGGCTGAGGGAATACCAGCCTACCAGCCCCTGATGCCTAAGAGAAGTCCCTGGACTCAGATCCTCCTGTTTCGTGACCTTAACCCAGGGTGGGAGCTGCTCACCTGAGCACCCGTGGGGGGGGGGGGCTGGGTCAGTGCCTAGAGTGGGCAGTCCTGAGCCTTGATATGAGACTTCTTAGTCCTTTGGTTGTAGATGTTATTTTAGTATGTTTCTGCCCCTGCCTGCGTGAGAACTTCTTGGTACCTCTTGCCAGCCCCTCTCACTGCCTGACCCAACCCCACGAGGCCTCGATGCTGTAAGGAGTGGTCTCTTGGGCAGGCCGGCTTAGACAGGCGTTTGGCCATCGCAGGTGGTGTGTGCAGATTACAGGAGAGCCTCAGCTCCTCCTCTCTCTGCTGGAAGAGAAGTTGTTTCTCCCACCTGACCCTAGTGAGCCAGCTTCCATGCATGCCATGATGCTTTGGCTGGTGGGCCACATGGCATCAGGGCCCCCATCACCAAAAAGTACCAAAGCCCTTGGCACCCCACCCCACCCCGCCCTCCTCAGTGACCCCAAGTGGGGCAACCACCGCGGCAGTGGGTCCAGCCCAGACACACACTGCCAGCCTCCTCCCCCTGCATTGGGCACCAGCTCTACCTCCCCCAGCGGGGCAACGCCCTGGCTCCTCAGCCCAGCACCAGCTGTCCCCTACGTTTCTCAGGGGCCGGCCCAGTCTGGGCGACCCTCTCCCTAGCCCTCTGCTCCCACACAGGTGACAGGCCCAGGCAGATGGCTGCTCTCTGGGAAAGGTTGGATGCTGCCTTATTTATGCCCCTACACTCAGTACACAGGTACCCGCCACCCCTGGTCAGCTTGTTTCTCACCACATCTAGGGAGAGGGGGAGACCAACCCCTTAGTGTCTTTTGAAATACGAAGAAAAATGTATGTTCAGGAGCATGACTCCACTGCTGGACTCTTGGGCCCAGTTCAGTCTGTCTCGTCTCAAATCTAGGCATTTTTGCTTCAATTTTATTTTTTTTAAGGAAATGAAAACAAAAACCTGCACTAATTTACCTGGTTTCGTAGGAATACTTTTTTTTTTATTTTTTACATTTTTTGGTGTCCGTTTGTATTGAATAATTTGCTACATTTGTAAAATGTAAGAGGTATATATAATATATGTATATTTCTAACGTAAAAAACGTAATTTTTTTCTTTTCAAGATTTTTTCTTAAAAAGAGGAGAGAAACAGATATTTTTTCAGGAAAAACAAACTTTAAAATAAAAAAAGAGGAGAATTAAACCTATTTCTCCCCTTTCCCCATCCTTTCTCTCTGTCTGCCCCTCTTTCCCAGGAACAAATCAAAAGGTGGATCGTCTTGTAAAGAATGTAAACTTTTAGTCCAGAATGATGTATTTTTCTCAATGCAGTGAGCTATAGATTCTCTAGTTTGACCCCTCGGGATGGGAAGGAGGGCATTGAGGCAATGTGGAGAGGAGCTTGGGGGAGCAGGGTAATGAACTTGTTTTCTTTAGTGAAGGAGGAATACAATCAAGCATTTTGTATTCAGAATGTTGTGCAATATTTTGGAATGGGACATTGGTGTGTTTAGAGATTTAGTTTAAAAACAAAACAAAAAGATTGATCAAATCTGTACAGTTTATATTGTTCCAGATTTTTTTAAGTTTGTATTAAAAGCATGATATATAATAGCTTGCTGCCTGCTCCTGGCTTGTTTTTACTTGGGGCCCCTATCGGCTTTAAGAGACCGTTGGTCCTCCTCACCTCACCCCTTGGGGTGCCTCAGTGCCAAGGGCCCCTTTTTACCCCCTGTCGCACCATCACAGGACCCAGAGTTTCCACTTCGAGGGGTTCTTTGCCACCCTGGAAACCTGCTCCCCGAGGCTGGGAACTGCCCAAGCTCCCCCTGCTGCCGGGTTGTGGAGCCTATACTGGAAGCAAGCCTTGCGAACAGAACAGGATCACCTCGTGGCTTTTTGAAGGAATGGCCGATTCCTTGGAGGCTGAGGGAGGGATCAACCTCCCCCCTGCTCTATGTCTAGTGTTTTCCTCCCTCAGATGACTGCTCCCTGAGAAGTGGGTAAGGACAAAAGGAGCCCACCCGAGTTAGGTTCTGTCCCAAAACCTGGGGCTTGGATTCTCAGCCCTTCTCTGGGCCGGGCGATTGCCAAGCCGCCGTAGAGGCAGCTGGGGCTGGGGAAGAGCTCGGCCATCTCCTCGCAGGGCCCATCCCTGCCCGTCACTGGGGAAACCGCTCGGTGTACCTTCTCCCTGGCCGTGGGTCACATCAGCCCCGTGGGCCCTGGGTTGAAGAGGAAGGCCCGGTACTGGAGGAATCTTCTTCCCCCTCACAGCAGCCCGGTGATGGAGGTGTGTTCTCTCTGCAGTACAACTGAGAACAGGGCTCCAAGTCTAGATGCACAAGACTGGCAGTTGGGGAAGCTGAGCTTTTGTGTGTGACGTTTTCATGTACAGAGCCGTGGCAACTGCTGGAGAAGCCTGACGCTCCCCTGGAGGGGATGGGAGGGCTGACGTGCCACCTCCAGCTTGGCAGGGGCTGGGGGGGGCGGGCAGCTCTTCTGGGGCATCAGTGCGATGGGGGGTCTCCTCAGGCCCCTCGCTTCCCAAACAGGCCAACACTGATCCCTCCCCAACCAAGAGTGTGAACGAGGCCTAGAAGCTCTCCCACCAGGCCTCCAACCTCTGCACAGGGTCCCAGGAGCGCTTGATGCCCGGCCCCCTCCCTGGGCCCCTTCCTCCACGGAGCCCATCAAATGGAGGGAGGCCCCTGTTCAGGATGCCCAGACCTTCGCCTGACGCACATAAGGCCATTCCCAGGGGTCTCCCTTTCCTCCGTCCTGCCAGGGAGAAGCCCCGCCTGTCCCTGGGACCCTGTGTACAGGCTGCCGGCCTACCTGTGGGACCCAGGGCCGCACACTCACTCCTACGTCTGCTAATGTAAACAGTACCTAACACGGGTCCTGTCACAACAGGTGCCCGTGGTCACCCATTCCCACTCCCTGCGCACGTGCTGGAGAGCTCTGCCCTGATAGGAGGAAAGAGCATTCTGGTAGACTCAGCTCCTCAGAAAAAAGTCATTTATTCACTCGACAAATCCTCCATGAACACCCAAGGTCTGCCCTGGGAGCACAGGGGAGATGGCCGTTACAGGACAGGCGTGCGCCGGGGGCCTGAGGGCCTGGGCATCAGGAGGCAGAGAAAGGCCAAGTTAGCCAGACCCCTCCCCGGGGGGAACCATCAGGGAAGCGACTCCTCTCTCCCCACCCCCCAGAAGACGCGGGTTCCCGTCCCACCCCCTGCTGCTCCCTTGCTGGGGGACCTCAAGCAAACCACTTCACCTACTCCGGCTCCTCCGTTCCCTCACTTCGAAAATGGGGATAGTAACTGTATTACTCGTGAAAATTAAATGAAATAATGAGTGGAAAATGCTGCGCATAGCGGCCCTCCCAGAGTGAACAACAAGTGTCACCTTCATCCCCCCCGGGCTGTCACTGTCTGTCCTCAAACACCACCAGCCGGCCCGCTCCCAGAGGCTTCCTTGCATCAGCAAACACGCCGAAACCGGACCCAGCCAGCAGCAGGACCAGAGTGGGGCAGAACAGGAAACTCCATCCTGGAGCAGAGACTAGGCTGGCGGGCCCCTGCTCTGCCCTCTGCCCAGGTGGGAGGCCGCTTGTGCCCCAACAATGCCCCCCACCCCGTGCTACAAAGTATGCTCTTTGCCGCTTGTCTTCTTCAGGGGCCCAGCCTTCAGCCCTGGGGTGGAACGGGCCCTTGACCCGCGTCCCGAAACCCCCGGGGAGTTTCCCTCTGGAGAACAGATGGGCGGGTGGGTGTGAGTCATGGCGGCAGGAGAGCCCTGCTCCGTCGGTCAC